GGCCCGTTTTTTTTTTTTTTTTGCAGTTGCTGCAGGGGTTGCATATGCTGCTGCAGTAGTTGCATTGACATCATTTCCGCAGTTGCTGCATGGGTTGCATATGCTGTTGCGGCTGCAGATGCACCACATCTGTTGCAGTTGTTCCATTGACATCATTTCTGCAGTTGCTGGAGGGGTTGCATCTGCTGCTGCACCACATCTGACTATCGTTGCAGTTGCGACAACAGCTGCAGTAACTATTACTGCTGGACCCCGACCACAGCCCAAAGGTTGTGAGGGGAGTTAGAGCCGGTTGGGGGGTTTTAGGGGTGGTTAGAACAGTTAGGAGCAGTTAGGGGCAGTTAGGGGAGGGTGGGTAACAGGTCCGGGCGGTTACGGGTAGGTGCATACAATTGTGGGTAGGTGGGGACGGGTACGGCTGAACACGGGTAAGGAAAATTTCGGTTGGGCATGGTACGGGTGGTTAAGACACGGTTTGGGTTCAGTTAGCCATGGTTGGTTAAAAAAAAAACAAAATCCAAGGGCGGGTACGGGCAGTTACAGTCTGCAGAGGTTCACGTATGGGCGGGTACAGGTACCCGTTTTTTTTTTTCCGGATCAGTTGGAGGTAGGTAAAGGTGCAGCAGGCCAGGTATACAGTGGTCATGGTTGGTTGGTTTTCGAAAAGTGTGTGGTTAGTTTAGTTACAGGTATTCCTAAAAATCCTGGTTGCGAACTCTGCTCCCTTCCCATGAGGACTCAATTCATGACCAAAATACAAACTCACTGATCCGCAGGCATACATAAGGCAAACCAAAAGTAAGATTGACAACCACACACAAAAAAAGAAGAAGATAGAAGGACACACACAACGCTGAAGTCTCTTGCATTCGGCTCTTTTGCTTTTTTTTTTTTTTTTTGCCCCTTTTTTTTCCTTACTGTTGGTTTATTTGCTGTCCGCTCGATGGATTTTGTGACAAGGTTTTTTTTTTTTGTTTTTTTTTTTTTAATGTCATCATGAAACTGACGGGCATTGGGTAATTCAAGAATTTCGCTCATCCGGTTCCATCTGGATTCGAACTCAGGTCTGCATCTCAACGGTTTATGGTTATGGGTGTACCGACTGAGCTAAGCTGATTGGTCTTGTGACAAGCTTGGTTTAATAGGTTTCGCCATTTCGGGGTTGTAATTATAAGCACCACAATAAGATCCTCAGAAGTAAGGACTCTGCGAGCCGCTTATCTTGGGACATTTTGCCTGGACCTGCCTGAATTGGGCCACCTGGGCCAGATAGGCTACGCAAAGCATGGCGGGCCTGGTTGGTAGCCTGGATTGCACTTGCATTTGTCCATCCCACTACATCCATAATACGTGGCTCGGATGTATGTATTTAATATTTATCATATTTATCGATCCATCGGACATGTGGATCGGTAGCTGCACCGGTAGCTGCAAATTTCGAGCACTAGCATCCCGGACGAATAATGAACACACCTTCGTCCGCTAACCTTGAAGGAGAATTACTTCTCACAGCGGAGGCCATACGCTCGCGCTTCGAAACGTATCTTCTCACATCGTCCGATCCCGTCGGTGACGGCGCCAAAGCAATGCTCTGACACACAAGTGATTTTAACACACACACATACACATTGAACGATACAGAGAGAGGATTAGCATGGTCCCTGCGCAAGGATGACACGTACAAATCATCCCAAAAAAAAAAATAAAAAAAAATCACGACGAGCTCCAATCTGCATGCAAATTGATTTCCACCATATCCAATCGGCAAAACCATTCCTTGTCCAATCAATGCAGATTGACTTCCACCATCTCCAATCAATGCTTTGCCAACCACCTCCCTTCCAATTTGCATGCATCAAGTTCTGCAGATTCTACGTCCTGCGCAGATTAAAAAAAAAAAAAAAAAAAAAAAAAAAACCGGAA